AAAATTATATCCATAGATTAAGTTATTCCTGTAGATTTTACGCTATTCAGGTCATATCAACATCTCCGAAATAAAAAAAAACTTACAGAAAAGAAAAGTTATTTTTCGGAAATTATAAATCTGAATATATAGAATACTCGTAAAATTATTTAGGCGCTCGAATGGAAATCGAACCCACAATCATCAGCAATCAGGTGTGACCAGTACACAAGGGATCTGACAGAATTGTTTTTAAACTAGCCCACTTCACTATTATTTACAGCACCAATACTGCTGTATTTAGTTTAAGTGGTTTCTACTTTCTAGATATAAATAAAGTTCGTAAACATGAACAAGGATTAGTCAGGAGCGGGTAGTCGGAGCTGTATAATGAAAGATCATAGAATGTTATTGTTAGTATTGGCAAAGTGCCCACCACAGAAGGGTAGTTTGAAGCAACGTAGTCATAAACGGATTTATTGATAGTCTTTTTATTAATCTCTCTACCGTATATAAATTTTAAAAAGCTCTTGCCACCGCTGAAAACTTGCTTCCTTCAAATCCAAACTGATAAATTCTTGTATATGGTGATAAATGTCTGTTGGAGTGGGGATCTTTGTTGATACAGATTTTGAATTGAATTGCGCATCGCTACAAGTAATTCTATATAAGAAAGTTATGAGTTTTTTAGAGTATAACGAATAACAAACTCATGACCTTTTTTTAATTAAGTACTGGATTGGTGTGTGTGTGCGTGTGTATAGAGTGTTCATCTCGGTAAAATGTATTTTCATCTTGAATTATTCTCAGACCATGCGCGTGTGTATAGTACTTGTATAAAACAAAACATGACGTTGGATAGCTCTGGACTAAGCCAAAAAATATTAAAAGTTTACATTTACTAAACTTAAACTTTGCATAGATTATTTTGAGCTAATTTTATACATATAGTTTAAAATAAAACGTCATCATCATTTGTGCATATTTTTGTTCTTTTTATGCTTATAATATTTGCAAGGTGTCGTGTTCAATACGGCACCTGTCGTTGAAATACTATACCTTCTTAGCTTATATGCTTATATAACTTAAAGTTACTCACCATTGATAACTTCGAAGTTAATATCCGTTAAAGCGAAACAGTGGCAGCGACCCGGATATTGTGATTAGTCTGATCGTCGTTGCACCGCATGCGACGCAGGTTCTCCTCAAGTCTACAGAAGCGTCTCAGTCAAAAAGCTGTGCTACATATCCAATATAGCTGAGTTACATTAATAAAATATACCTACATATGTTTCATATTTTTCTGCATATAGTCGCCCTAAGCATTTGAGGCACTCTAGGAGTGAAATGAATTCTCACACAAGCTAAACGGTTGTATTAGCTGGATTGGGGCCGAATCCGTAGTTTTATGACACTTGAATAATATTCGTTTATTTTATTCAGTTTAAGAGTTGGGGAGCCATTACATACAAATCTAAGCTAAAATTACAATTATATGTTTTGTTGATTACTTAACAACAGTAACTATGTGCTAAATTGGTCGATAATGACTCATATCATCACTTAAATATTAAAATTCGATGATTTTGCTAAACTTTTCCCTTCCAACAAACGGTCGGTAACTTCACGAAATCAAAAACATTCCTGCGTCGCAAATCCTGAGAATTCTTGCTATGATGTTTCATAAAAATGCTTTGAGGGAGGATTTTGTATTTGACTGTATTTTATTTGAAAGTTCTGGCAATAACCGCAAGAATTTCATCTGTCAGCCGACGGCGGTGGGCGGCGGCGGGCGGCGGCGCGGCGTGCCTACGAGACGGTCTCTACGCGGCGCGGCGTAGAGGTTTGAATAGCACCAACTTCACCTTTATAATCCGTTTTCAGAATAAACTTGTCATTCTGTTGCTTTCCAAGCGAAGCCAAGAACTTTGAGCCATAAATATAGCATTTCTCGAAGCTAAGCTCCATTAGTTGTGATCTACCACATCTAGGTAGTTATTTTATATTCTATACGTAACGTGCGATACAACTTACTAGTTTAAGAATACTTTTGAGTCAAATGATAAACTAAAAACTGCACTCATATTTATGTCAATTAAATTTAGTTTCATAAATAAATGTCTAACAAAACATAGATATTATATAAAACTGAATAGATTTTTTGGAAATGTTATTTTACCAGAAATATGTTCCTACGTTTCCCCGGTCCACTCTACAAATACTTGTAGACATATTGTGATTCGTGTAAAAAAACCTGTAAAGTTTTATTCAAAAAAATGCTTCAATAACTTTTCCAAACACTTAGGGTTGATTGAACTGTTAATTCATCGGCGATGAATAATTCCACGGCCCATTGTAACGTTCTGATTGAGTTTACGCTTTATACTTCATCCGAACGTTCGCGCACTTTAATATGCATCGCTGCAAATTTTACTGCTGTGTAAATCTTTTTAAATATTAAAGCATTTGAGTTATTGCATCCATAATTTTACATTATATTAAGTTGTTAGATACACAATAAAATTACACACGCTATGTAAATTAAAGACAAGGTGTGACAGCGTTTTACGAATTTACGAAGCCCACTATCGTTTTCTCTCTTAATAACTTTTTCACAGAGCTCATACAGGATGTATTAATGAGCAGAAAGCACGTCGTGCCGTTTCTTTGCGAAAGAAAGACCAATCCACAAACACATTTTGACATTCTTATAATATACTAACGCTAGAAATACACAAATAGATCTATCCCACGGGAACCGTTCATTTTTTCGGGATAAAACGTAACCTGTTATTTGACCGGCAATATAAAGTATCAGCATGCCAAATTTTACTAGGTGCATAAGTTGTTGTGTACTAAGCTGTATAAGTTACTATAGTTTTTAAACTATCCCACAGGAACTCTTTACTTTTTCGAGATGAAAAGTATCTTACATGTTGACCGGGGACAGAAGGTACCACCATGCAAAATTTCATTTTAATCGCTTCAATGTTTTCGGAGATTAGGCCGTACAAACAGACAAACAGACAAACAAACAGAGAAACAAAAAATTTGAAAAAATCTGGATTTGTTCTATTTGTCTTCTTACATCCCCCTGACTTGGTTTTTAGCATTTTTTTTCTATGTACAGACATTCGACCTCTACAGTCTTATTTTAGTATAGATTATACATTAATACTACCCTTACTAATGTAAGGGCAGTCGTAATTATAAATATTTTTGGCTGAGTCTAAACTAGTTAAACAATCAATGTAAAAGTGTTAAAAGCCTAGTAATATATCCAAAACCATAGATAACGAAAATCGTCTTAGGATTTTTTTAAATATAATTTTAATTTTAAACCTAACCTTAATAATCCAGAAAATATAAACAACCTAAGTGCGTGCACGAGCTCGTTTCAGCCTTTTTTAAAGTATTCTCATTTATTTCTTTTACACTTAAGAAAAATTGTACATTTTTCATTTCAGTCATTTGCAAGAGTAACTTTATTTTCATACAAAAATTTGGGATCAGCGGTGTTACAAATTGAGTCACTTCGGGCTAGTGAAAAAACAAAATAAAACCACCGCGTCCCGTGACAGCTGTCATGAATATACAATAAGCATATACTCGTACATTCTCTTTCTTCTCAACCGGAAACGGAAACCTGGAATCCCTATTATCACATCGAATTGAATAAACATTTGGGGGTGCGAATATTATCCACACTTTCTACTTCACACTTCACTTCTTTTTATTCGTATATTTTTATTTTATACATCCATAGTGATACATTTAAGTATATTATAGATTTGTGTAAACAACACTTTACATTTCGCATACTCTAATACAATACACGTGTAATTAACTAGCGACGGCTCTATCCACGCGTGTATTTTTATTCAGAGTATAACCAATAAACGTGCGCCCCGATATGATGTTCTCCTAGCCGATTCCGGCTACGGCGGCCAATCTCATTGAGATTAGTCAACTGCGCAGGAGATATTATAGTGCTCAAGTGTACGCGCAGACTCAAGTGCACTCTCTATTCCTATCACTCTCATACTCCGGTGGGACGACCACTCGACACGACCAGTGAGAGTTAAGGCGCAGGACCGACGGCTTTACGTGCTCTCCGAGGCACGGGGGTGAAACACCGCCAACTTCCCAACTCCGGGCTGTTACTGAGACTTACTATACAGAAAGACTCAATAACTAAACTTGGCCCGACCCGGGACTCGAACCCAGGACCTCCGGGTGTGCAGCCGTACATGCTAGCCACTACACCACTGAGGCAGTCAATGAGGCCCCGATATATACGAGCATTGAAAGAGAAGGTTCCGTGAACTAGTATCGAAAAATATTATTCCAACACGAATTACACACAACGAATAACACTACAAAAAAGTATCATTAAAATCTTGAAAGATACGCAATTTAACAGATTCATCATCAGATCATACCCGCCATCAGCATTTTCTCAATCGCACACAGTACACAGCAGCAAGTTGGAATGTAGATTAAATATAATGAGGTTATTATCTGGGAATTTATTAAGGAGTCCTGAATTATAATGTGATCGAACGTCACAAAGCGATCTAACTCATTAATTAGCATACCGGTTGGTTCATAACGAATGTTACGCAAACGTCAACGAATTTCACATACAGCCTTAAAACCAGGAATAAGAATATTTATTTAAAATCATCATGGGAATATTCTATACTTTTTAGCCGCTTTTTCCATCGATGCACGAAACAAGAGACAGATGGAAATTCTAAAACCTACTATTATTGAAGCTTATATAGCGCACATATTAAGCTACATCATCAGATACATGAACGACATAAACATCATCTTAACAATAGACTCAAAAAGATATTTATATTACTAGATATTATAATTTTATTAGATAACATTACATTAAATAATTATACAATTAGGTACAAAAAATGAGCTCAATTATATGTACATAAACAGCCATAAGCCTGCACTACCATCGGCCATCAACATAATAACAGGGAAGTGTAATGTCTACGACAATGGGATCATACGTTCTCCCCGGCGCGACGCACACCGACGCACCACCGCGCACACCGACGCACCACCACGCACAACGACGCACGCCGGACCAATTACTGTCGGGAGCAATGGCGTTAATATCACGCCTCGGATGTAATTGAAGTTATCAAATTATCCCTATTGTGTGTTTACCTGTTCATTATCCGAGGCCTAGCGAGTGTTCGAGTGTTGCCAGCTGGAGGCGGCGAGTAATCTCCCCAAAAGGTTGCTCTAATAAGTGAATAGCTGGAAATAAGAATTCTCTGTAAAGTAATTAAGTTTTGATAGGTAGCAAACAAACTGGTTTGATTATCGTCTAAATGATTTTACGTATACAAAATTTTAATTCTTTTACAGAAGTCTCATGTGAGCCGTAGTGAAGTCAACTTATGAAATATGTATACCTATGCCTATTGCTCGTAGTAATGACGCTCCATACACGTAACTGAGGGGTTAAAAAAATTGTTATGGGTAGTGTGAGCGTAAATTGTTGTGACGATCAATGTTGAGTAGCGTTTGAGATATGGAATAGTTTTGGTCACATGCTTTATTAATTTAATAGCAGCCGCAATACTTTTTTATTATGTCAAACTTACTTTTGCTGTCGATATCCTAGCTTGTATTTAATATGTACCGAGGCAGCACTAATTTAATGCTTGTTGGATGAAACCTGTGCATGCGTTCGTCTGATATTTTAAGTTATCTGGAATTACTTCAATTAATAAATCATATTTTTCAAACATGATGATAGCCCGAGACGAAAACAAAAACTGCTGGATAAATTTTTATAACCACACTTAGTTGGTCAAAACAGATTTTTTTTTAAATATGAAAAAAAAATATTCTGAAGTAATGACTACTAGAATCAATGTCGTCAAATGATACTGGTACGCCCTAAAAACTGAGGTTTATCGAATCTCCAAAGCAAGAAAGTGCTCAGCTATTGTAAAATCAAGAAACGGTCACCCATCCGGTCCATCTCGTTGATTTGATGATCTTTTGGGATCAATATCAATTTAAACAAATAGTACGTTTTAAGCTATATACATAAAGAAGAGTCTCCAAGCGAATTATTAACTATATAGTAATGCAATGTGCCGAGAGTAATAGATACGCACAGTGGCCCAATACATGCCAGAAACAACGCCGCTTGATATCATGCCTCGAGTGTAATTAAAATTGTAGCGCCCACCTAATAATTTGAAAAAAAAGACCTTTGATCTACGCCAGTCGTTTTTAACGGATTTAATAATTTGTACGTTTAATGTTGGTCAAAAGTTCGATATTTTCCCGAGCTTAAAGTTGCACTCGTATGATCATAAAATAACGTATTAATAATATAAATAATTTCCAAAAATATATTTTCTAAAAATACATATTTTCTAAGATATAAATTATTTGATAGATATAAATCGCCCTCGCTGTTGAAATTCCTTGAAGCAAAATACTTTAGTTGTTGGCAAAAACTAATAAGCATAAGCTCTCACTTATTTTATGGCAGGTGTTTATAAACCTTCTTTACCAACAGGACTCTCAGTCGTTTTAATGTTTCATTTGTTGTAAAAATGATCTTAGTAAGAAATACTGTTCCAGTGCCCATTTGCTTCACGCTAGCTTGGCTTTTAATATTTCCATACAAAGTTTTTTTGCCATCAACCATCTTTTTAGTGCTGAACAAAAGCACTGCTCTGGACCGGATGTAAAAAGTATGCGCCGCATTCACCAAATATATTCGCAGTGTTCTCGTTTTCAAATAAAAGTGACTCTTGGGTACGAATGGATTTTTTGTATTTATTATAATAATATATTGAAATTCTTTGATAGTAATAACACGGAAGGAATAAAGTTAGCTGTTTACTCGAAATAAGTAAATTTTCCGGATTGACAAGGGTCAAATGGCAATACCTTTCCGACCTGAAATCGTATGCGCGGCCTCTCTAAAAAATATTTTGACTGGACTCCCAATAAATATTATTCAGAATTCCCTGGAAACTGAACAACCGATTACTAAGCCCGATATTTCCCCCTGCCTGCCCTGCGGCGAGCATTTCATTGAAATGTTATCTACGAATATTTTCATATCTCTCATCTCTGCCCATCAAAGATTCACTCTTGGCCAAATATTTATTACTTTCTAAATTAGTCTGGCCACGGGCTGTGAGGTAACAAAGTAATCTGTTAGTTAAATATGCTTAATACATATATTTTATTGAAACTACTTACAATATAATTAAAAGCCTTTTTATATTTTTCAACGCTGTTTAGTACGCACGAAATATTCATAATATTTTTCCTATCAAAAGCACGAAAGATATCAGTTAATATTTGTAGTTATATATTTTGGACGTATGAAAGACAAGTATCCTTTAGATTGTATTCACGGATGTAAACGTTTAGCATGAAAGCTCCTCATCTCAAGTAACCTCTCAACTTTTGAGTTCCGCATATATCAAAGTTGAATAAGCATAAATAGCATGCAGGGTCTAATTCAGCGTCGCTGGTGAATACAAATGAGACCACTTGGGTGACCACAGAGCAAATATACTATGTATATTTTATATATCGCAAGTCTTACCTACGTTTTAAGATAAACTGAATCACCCATACCATATACTTCCTGTATGACATTTTTTACTTGTCTTAGTACCTAATTTTTCTTGAATCTCTCATTCTTCAATGAGCCTAATAAAACATTTCATCTTATCAAATTATATGATCATTGTACATTGTAGATGACTGTAAATATAGAGTTTTTGGGAAACAGCTAGCAGCTGTGATCGGTCGTTGTCATTAAAATAATATTAAATATAACCTCATTGTTTCTAGAAGTTTTAAAGTTAACATTTATTACACACAACAAGTTTGAAAAGCTCAAATATAACATAAATATGCATGACTAAGCATAAAACCATTTGTCTTGAGGTACAAAGTAATTTATTTTGTACTAAGCTTAAGAAAATATTATCTATTTAGACTCTCAAATGGACAGACGAGACATTTGTCAGTTCTTCTAGTGATATTTAATTAATAAACACGCGAAGTAGAAGAGAAGCAACATTTTTTTGTTAAAGAAAATAATGAACACGCTTAATATCAGCTCCCTCCAAGTAATAAACCGATCAACATCAAACTGGACGGCAGTTAAATTATCCGTAAGCCGCCTCTTATGGATTCTCTTGTAAGCTCTTCAGTTGTCTAGATAGCTGTGGGGCTTAATTGAATAATTTTAATATATTTTCTGAGGAAATATGCTAATGTATTTCATTACCAAAGCTATATTTGATTTTAGGGCATCAAATGCCTACATAAAACTCAGAAACAAGTTTAAATAATTTTTAAATATATGAACAAAAATGTAATTAACTTTACTACTTTAAATAAATTATCTTCGAATTATTATATATGTAAGCATTATATACTTACGATGTTTTGTTCTGGACACAGCTTTCTGTTTGGTTTTAGCGATATCGAAAAATATTTTAGATTGATTATTTTAAATTTTTCCCTAAAATAATAAGGATAATTTTCAGGTACTTTGACTTTAGTATTACCTTATACTATAAGTAGTTATATAGGAACATTAATATTTGGGCGCGTGTGTGGACCGCATGCTGTATCGTCGCGACGTGCGGTGACTTCACAATATGCATTTTATTAGCCGGGACATGTCGCGCGGCTCAAGACGGATATTACAGCCCAGGGCCATCTTAGGTGATATTTTACACAAAATAAGTATTCTTTTTACTGCAAACTTTCTTATTTTATTCTTTTCATTTCCTCTTAGAAGAAATGCAGCTAAGATTTTCATTTACTGCATGTAATAAAGCGGTTAGAAACCATCCTATTCGCAGACGTGCGCCGCCGCCTTACCTGCTGCATTTAGTTATTATTCTCATAATGTTTTAGTTATTCCAGATAAAGATAAAAATATTAAGATGCTTCCACTTTTAAATAATAAACAGAAAGAAAAAACTAGAAATTGGTTATTTTAAATTAATAATATGTATTCACTACTTATTAGAATTTTCAATAAATCCTTTTTAGGCGAATTTTAGTCAAAGTGATGTTACTCAGTTCTTTATCTCACTAAAATATATTGAGATAGGATACAACATATACTTTATAACATAATAACTAATAAGTAGATGAAAGCTTAATAATAATTTAAAAAACTGCAGGCGCTTTTGTACTTGAAGACCTTTCATGTTTTAATTACTATCTCTCCTTCCTTCTCTGTGAGAATAGTGAATACAACGGTCGCAAATATTTTAAATAATTTAGCATCTCTCTAAGAACATATTTAAAACTAAAATATAAAAATTTGGAGGAGTCCAATCCCAAATTTGTTCCTTAGGAATGTATGACAAACAAAATTTAGCATATTTACAATATTTACCAACAGTATTGTCCAATTTCTGATCACTGTTTATTGTAGCGTTTTAATTTTAATATAATTCTTCGCCAATAATAATATTCGCCAAGTCGATACTTTGTTGAAATCAGAAGTAGGAAATTGAGGAATGTCTGCTATTAGTAAAAACATAAAAATATATAAATACACAAAGAACTATGTAATTAGGCCTGTGTCAAAGATAAGCTTACCCATGTTACAGTTGCAGACCGCAACCCGCGCGGGGATGTCTGTAATTAAGCAGTAAAAATGAAAAAGCTTAATTTAACAGGCCCAACCAAAAAACCGAGAATTGGGTCACAGTTTTTAAGTTCTTATGGCTTTGTAAAACTCATTATATTCCTCTCTTTACTTATTTGATAGAATCTGGCGCCACTCTGTAGATGTCCACGGTATGAGTGTGCAATGAATAAAATTTAAATATATTTAAAACCGCCTACTAAGAACTTCTCGGATGGCCACCATAAAATATTACGAAGAAAATATTTCCGTATTATGACTAAGCTTGTGTTACTTATTGGGGTTTACTTACTTATATACTAAATACATGAATTAGGTATTTACTTCACTTTTATTCAACATATTATATAACAACTTACATATGTGGAACATGTAAGAACTAATGTTACGACGATAACATTAGCAAGTTAAATCCTTTACGTCTATAATAATTATTTTAAGTAACCGTTATAACTTTCCATTGTCCTATTATTTTTACTTTCAAGACATCTATACATAATATAATAAAAATGTAACCAAGCCGAATCTGTACATTAAATATTTTTTGGAAAATCTTATTGAAATAGACATTATTATCGATACAGAGGCCGAATCTATAGTTTTTAGAATTTTTGTCTGTCTGTCTGTCTGTCTGTCTGTTACCGCATCACAGAAAAACCACTGGAAGTATTTTGATGAAATTTGGTATGGTGATAGCTGGTTATCCAGGTTAACATATAGGATACTTTTTACCGCGGGAAAATATCTCATTTCTGAGAAAAAATACAAAAACTGCAATGTAAGAGTATACTAATATGTAAAACCTAAGAATTTGGTTTTTGGCGATCTGAACGCGGGCGGAGCCGCGGGCAATACTAGTATACATATATAGGTTAATGTATTTGTAGCATCGCAATAAATGAAGCGAGCGCGAGAGTCAGGATAAAGCGCCGGGATCGTGCCAGAATGTGCTGAGCCGTCACGTGCCGCATTGACGTTATGCGTGACTCGAGCTGCGACTTGCGATACGCTCTCTTAAGTCTCTCTATAAAGATAAAAAATCTCCTATTATAATAAATTATTTGTCAATTTACGGAATCTGGATAGCTTGCATTTTGAGAAAGAAACAAAATCTATCGGCATACGATATGAGGTTATATAATAATTCCATGTTCATTAACTATGGCATGGATTTAGGTGTAATTTATCATAATTTATTTTACTCCATAAACACAAAAAGATAAACATAAAAAGTTAGCAGTATTTTATTATTAATCGGTTCCTACTACGCGATGCTTATTCATTATGGTAATCCTCTATAAAGGTGTTTTATTTACTATTAGCGAATATTGGAAGCAAACCTCGTTGAGCAATTGATAGCCACTGTATTTGACCAATAATAATATGCACACTAAGCTTGTAATAAATATATACATGACCCCATCGACAGTTGACTTTATTTCTAAAAAACCCCTAACTTTTTCTAAGAGTTTATTATTACTACCTACTAGAGCTTACATTTTGGATACCAAACATCCCAAAAGAATGCCAAAAGAACGTGAATGGAATGCATGAAAATCCGCTTAGTATTTGGCTAGTGTAGAATGTTTTTGCTATTATCATATAAACTCGCCGGCTTAAGTTTCCACACCCTCTGCAAGTTTTATCACATATTTGTGACTAAACTTGTATTCAAAGTGAAAATTCACGAACGCTACTGTCCTAGTTTAATTTAGGTCGCAATAGGTACGTGACGGCGCATTATTACGTGATCAGTGACTATCGGACTCCGAGAAAACTATTTGCAGTCTCGCTGAATTTCTTTCTGTATTCAAAGAATGTACCTATGTATGCCCAAAATTTTATAAATGCTGTACTTTTCAGGACAATATCTATCTTAATGACTTCCTTATTTGTTTCTTAAGTGAGCTGGCCTTAAAAATGATTGTTGGTATAGTTTGTAGTAATAGAACCTATTCAAACCTATAAATTTTATGGATTAACTCAAAAAACATATTTTTGTAACGTTTGCCTAAATTATCAATAAAGATAAGTGCTGATTTCAATAAGATATGTGCTCTTTTTACAGCTTTAGTTTGTATCTTTTCACTCCAAAACACTTATCAAAGCTTTCGACTAAAGGTATAAAATAACCTTATCTTACAGCTACACAGGAAAAGGGACCTTTTTTTGAGAAATGCATTTACGCATACCACCTGTAGGGAGATACAGGTGATTATGTGGGACTCACCGCCTAGAAAAGCCCACTTAAACTTAACAAAACCTCCTCCATCTTAATGCGGCATCGCAGGATTACTTACGCACTCAACCACGAAGCCCCGACGGCATGCCATACATACGTGTTGCTTCAACGGTTCACTCTACTATCAGAGAAATACCAGAAGCAACCCGCATGACACACCGCCCACCGTTGTAGGCTGCCTCCCAGTGCGTTTCTTGGCTTTGCGCCTGGCTGGAATGCCGGACGCTAATAAGCCTACCCACCCACATACGACAAGGGAATAGGACAACGCACTTTAAGGGGGATATTGGGAAGGACCCTTACAGGATACTGCTGCTTACACAATCACATGTTCAACCTTAGACTTATTGACAAAAGTTTCTAAGGTTGGCTCCAAATGAGGCAACTCTTCAGCGGTCAACAGTACAGATACGAAACTTTGTATAGGTTTTGTATTAAATTATAATAGCTCATTATAACGTCTACCATGGCTTGCCTGCTGCACCCAGAATGTCAGAGATCGTATAGGCGTTCAATTATTATGTTTCAGTTGACGTGTGCAACCGATTTGTTTGTCTATAAAATATTATTGCAAAAAAAGTTTACTAGTAATCTAGTTAAGCTAGTAAGCTATGAAAGCTTAAGAAAATTACATTAAATACTAAACTTGGGATTTTAGTGTAAACAAGGCGAAATTACCTATATCCCTTGACCTTAAGTACCTTATAAGAATTACTAGCCTTGAATCACTGAAAAAGATTACACACAAAAGTGTATTCAAGTCGTCAATTTCGTGCCAAAAACTGGGAAATTTATTTACATTTATCTATATAAAACATATTATAAACAAACTTTGGTTTGGCCCACTGCCTAATTTGTTTACTATTAGCCACGTCACATCCGGCTAAGTGAAAGCACTTGTAGATAGCGAGCTACTAAATTATTATTATAATAATATAAAGATTTTCTTATCAAATTAATCTTTATGTCAACAATGCTCAAATACTTTGTGAATATTTGTAATTGTATTGGCTTTGCATTACATTTTATAGTTTGGTACATCTTAATGTGTTTTATTATGCCTAAATATTGTTATTGTAAGTTTCATGTAACTAAGTTTGCTTTGCTCTCTAATAACTAGTATGTTATAGTAGAATGTAGGTACATATACTAAAAGTCCGAAGTTACAGGATTTGAGTCCTAGTGGTTTTGGCTTGTCTTCAAACCTATCAATAGATAGCACATACAAATAATAGTATTTTATTAATATTAAAGGTATGCATAAGAGGTGTATTAAATTAAATTTTTATTAAGTTATTTTATACTTTTTAGCTTTTAAGTCGGTTTTTTTAAACGTTTTTTTTTTCATCTATAATCTGTGAAGTGTGACTTCAGACTTGACAGTTGACATAAAACGTAAACACAAATTACAAAAGTCAAAAACTTTAAAGTTAAACTACAATTGGACTCAAATACTGTAGAAAATTTGAATTTAGTATTATTTTACAGTTTAATTTAGTAATACCTGTCAAAATGTCAGACCATGATAAAAGTAGGCGTCGAAGTATTGAAAGACATCGAAGCCGTAGCCGAGATAGACACAGGAGTAGAGATCGAGAACACCGAGGACGCAGCAGAGAACGCTATAGAGATTCCAGTAGAGATCGTCATAGAAATATCAGTAGAGATAAAAAACGACATGGCAGTAAAGAAAGACATCGAAGTAGCAGCAGTGAGAGACAGCGAGATCGACGCTCCGAGAAAAACAATCGTCACAATGACGACCACAGTAAACACGATCGTGACAGAGGACGCAGCTCTTACAAAGAATTTAGTGGAGGTGGCCTAGGCGGAGGTAAATAAAAGCTTTTACTTAAAATTTGAGGTTATGTTTATTCAAATATTTAAACCAGCTTAAATGTTCTTAAACGGCAGCACAAGATTACTTATGCTGTAAGATTGTTTCCATCATGTCAATTATATATAAAGCTATCAGTTTTCAACATATTCGTAATATTGATAGTAAAATTAGCAAATTCTCTTGCTTTAAATGCTTAACTTTATATATTTTTATACACAATTTCCTTTAATTAGTATATAAACTCATAATTATAATCAAATAGAATTATTATATCATAAAATTATCTTTAAAGGTCTAGGAAGTGGTGGTGGAGGTGGTCCTCGGGGGCGATACAAACCTCAAGAAGAAGAATTTCTGGATGCTCGTAGGGAAGAAAGAGAAAGAATTGGTGAAATTGGAGTATCATCTGTTTGGGGGAAGTCACCAACGAGACCTGAGTTAGTATTTTAATAACTATTAAGTTTGAAAATTTTTGGAAACATTATTACTGTAACAATTTGTAATTTTCAGCTCTGATGATGAAGAAGAACAACCAAAGAACTCAGAAACTAGTAAAGAGAAAAAAAAGAAGAAATCTAAAGATAAAGATGACACAAAGCGGAAGTTGAAAAAGTTGAAGAAAAAACTTAAAAAAGCAAAAAAAGCTCGTAAAAAAGCAAAGAAAAAATCTAAAGGTTCTTCAAGCAGTGACAGCAGCAGCAGCAGCAGTGAGGAAGAGATTTGGGTAGAGAAAGGAAGTAAGCATATGGCATTGACTTAAATATTATTATATTGATTTTTAAGGTATACTTAATAGTTTATGGATGATATGATTGATACAGAAAATTATAATTCAATTTTTTTTTAATTCATGTTTCTTGAATTAACATATTTTAAATACATGTATATTGTATACTCTATTAGTACAAAGTGTCTTTTAGACATCTTTATTTTTGTCATATTTGTAGTTTGATTTGGTTTATTTCAGTACTAATAAGTTTTTTTTTAGTTATTTTAATATAATATCCATAAATATCAATTTATATAATTACAACATATCTATTTTATTTTACAGAAGAACATGAAGTTAGTACAAGTAGAGCTTCAAAGAAAGATGTTGAAGATGAGTTAGCTTCTGAAGCATATGGACCAGTACCTAGAGTAGGTCCAGCATTAGGTCACAAGGATTTTGGTCGAGCACTGCTGCCGGGTGAAGGTGCTGCGATGGCTGCCTATGTGGCTGAGGGCAAGAGGATCCCGAGGAGAGGAGAAATAGGCCTCACGTCTGATGAAATAGCCTCTTATGAGTCTGTGGGTTATGTCATGAGTGGAAGCAGGTATGTTCATATTTACTTAATAGTCATTTTATAATAAAACTAGCAGAACCCGCGCCTTCGCTTGCGCTACAACTTCAAATAAAATACTTTGGCTTTATGCTGTAATGATTTTCAAATGTGTATGATTGTTGCACCGAGGGTTGCACAGGGCCAATTATTGTGTTGTTTTTACTAACATATTTAAACACAAATAAGATTTTTACATTTTTGCAATACATATTTTATTATTTGCAAAAATAAGTTCGCTTTTCATAATATTTATTAAAGATGGGGGGGGGAACCATAGACTACCTCCCTTTCTAAGAAAGGTTAAGTTTTCTTGGGGGATAGATGATAGAAGAATGCATTAACCTTTTGTATTTGCAACAGTATAGCTACGGTTAATGTTATAGACACCGTCGCATGGAGGCAGTGCGAATCCGCAAGGAGAACCAGATCTACTCGGCGGACGAGAAGCGCGCGCTGGCCGCCTTCAGCAAGGAGGAGCGCGCCAAGCGCGAGAATGCCATCCTGGCGCAGTTCCGCGACGTGCTGCAGGCGCGCTCGCAGCGCCGCGACGCCGCCTAGCCCCCCGCCGCCCTCGCCCCGCCGGAAACTATGCGGGTGCTCCTTGATCAGGCCGTCATTCATTTTTATAAGAAAACTCGTGCAAGCTCTGTTCGTGGCTGACTTATGTTCAGATGAATTTTTATCAGAGATAATATTCTAAGAGTGAAGTTTAATTATTTATAATGCATAACTAAGATCAGTTTAGAAGTTCTCTGTGTTAATATGTAAACTGCGATAACACGTTTATTTTTCTTTACTTAGTTATATTATGTACTAGTTATATTATGTTACTTAGTTATATTATGTATTAGTACTAAATTCTTAGGTTTTACATATTAGTGTACTCTTACAATGCAGTTTTTGTATTTCTTCTCAGAAATTAGATATCTTTCGGCGGTAAAAAGTATCCTATATGTTGACCTGGATAACCAGCTATCATCATACCAAATTTCATCAAAATCTGTCCAGTGGTTTTCTCGTGATGCGGTAACAGACAGACAAAAATTCTAAAAACTATAGATTCGGACCCTGTATCGATAATGTCTATTACAATAAGATTTTCCAAAAAATATTTAATGTACAGATTCGACTTAGTTACAATTTTATTATATGTATAGGTATACATAATATCATTAATTATTACGAAACACAAACCTGTCAGTCTATCTTGACAGTACTGTGTATATACAATCCCGAATCAATTAAAATAAGGAAAATGTAAAATAAATACATTGATCTAATAAAATAGTTTTATTTTCCATAACATTATCTAACTGATGTTCTATATAACTTCTAAGAACTTATAAACAAGACAATAGAAAATGTAACAAAATGCATTATATAGAAATCTTGATGATTCAGAAATGAGCTTTACGCTTATACAATATTCATAACTGTAACAAAATCGATCCAGTATGTCGGTGAATCATGGATCTGATGAGTTTGTGACAACATAATATAGATACAACTCTTACTTATTATAGTTAATGAAATATTAAATAAACTTTACCTTCTGAGTATGGTATAAAAGTAAAAAAGCATCTGGAATTCGATGTCCAAATCACAGGATTGATTTTACGCGTCACGTCGCCTGCTTTGTTATCTGCGCTCTAGCGAGGACATAAGTCGCGGACAGACGCCTACTAACAACTACTTTTATCTCCTTTCTTACATACAAACTATATATACATTTGTAAATATAAATATATACATACTAGCAGAACCCGCGGCTTCGCTCGCGCTAAAACTACAAAAAAAGCTTTTTGGCTTTATGCAAAAGGTATTTTTAAAATGGGCGCAGTAGTTTCTGAGCTTAAAGCACTTATTCATATCATAAACATTTGTTTTACAATAATGTGTGGAAGTCTTCCTGATTTGTTGACATTTATGATTACTGCTCCGCTACCTTTGGTAGTAGCATGATGATATATAGCCTATAGCTTTCCTCAATAAACGGGCTATCTAAGTAAAAATAATTTTTCAAATCAGATTAGTTATTCCTGAGAACATACAATCTCTGTCTCTATAATATTAGTATAGATAATACTAGCGCATGCGCTAGAGTGGTACGGAATCTGGTCAGGGTATCGCAGAGCTCAAAACAACTTAATGTCGATATTACACATAGTATCGATGCGAAGTTATTTTTATTATTAGTAGCGATATTAATACTACATCATCGCATATTATGGTCACATCACTTGTATGTTGTTCATTTATATGTCATACATACTATCGATAGTATTGAAATCATCGATAATATTACTTTACCGATTATCATAGTGTTGTAGCAATTATACTGTGTAACGATTTTTTATATTTCGAATGTCATTCATGAAATGGGTATTCTTCATTAGTGGTAATAAAACTTTATATAGCTTTCTTTCACAAAACGTTATACATGTTTGTAAATAAATTTAGAACCTGTGATTTTTAAAGAACAAAATAATTTATGTTGACTCTTATCGTGCTTATAATATTGTTAAGAAGTATAAAGATGATGATATTACCGCTGGTAATATCTAGAATTGATAGTGCCAATAACATCGACAGTTAGTTTTTAAACATTTATGAGACTCGATAGTAATCGACAATATCTATAGGACAATCGATAAGAATAGTTTGGGGCGGTATAAAAATTTTGCTGTAACACTAGCATTCGCAGAAAACAAAGAAAAGTAATTATGACAAATCATACAGATCTTTTCGGATTATTTCGCGGATTTATTTTATTTTTGGTTTACGATTCGAATGCTTTACAGCGATCATGGTCACGGGAGAGTCTCTCCCGAAAAGATAGTTTTATTTAAAACATACACAATAAAAAATATAAGTAGAACTCAAGGATGATAACTTTTTTTTTTATGGGACTAAGGGGGCAAACGGGCAGGAGGCTCACCTGATGGAAAGTGATCACCGCCGCCCATGGACATCTGCAACACCGGAGGGCTTGCAGTTGCGTTGCCGGCCTTTAAACTCCAAAATATATAACACTATCATCATAATTTTAAAACTGTATTTGGGATATTTTGCCTGCAATTGTATACATCCATGTATTCTAGTTCTATAACAAAAACAATGGATCTATCGAAAAAAAATCGATTTTCATGACATGTTATTTCAAATTAATTATTACACTTTAGTGCGTTCAAGAAAACAGTTGCGTGAGATTTTTTACATATACTCATACATGTAAAAATCAATATTAGTGTACAATTACGGTACTAGGTGCCAAACAGCCCAGTGATACTAAAATGAAACTACTGTACCTCAGAGCGAGACAAATTTATTTTACAATCAAGCAGCCTTATATACCTCTTCGTAGAACACAACCATAGCGCGATTCAGACTACTAAGATAACGAATAAGATAAATACAACGCCATCTATCGAGTGGAAGTGTAAACAATTATTAAAAATATTGATTTAAACTTTATTTTCGAACACATTCTGAACATCCCGCCCACCAAAGGGATTATTATTCCTTTAGTACCGCCCACCCTGATCAAAATTCAACTAATATAAAATAACAAAAGCAATGGACTGTATGTAATATGTAATTAAAAGCATTAAACGGGACGGTGTATTTATGGAGTATTTCTTACGACAGTATAATCTATGGCTTTAAGCAAAGTATAAAATAAAATCTAACTTATAACAAAATCTAAATAGTAACAAAGATTAAGTAAGTCCTATCTATCTTAAGTCTAGACAACAAGCAAACAAATAGTATCCTACTTAAAAGTTAAATTAAACTTAATAAAAGCCTTTAAAAATATAACAAAAAAAGTGTAACTAAATAAATTCACCAATAGTTTTAAACAAAACAAACTGAAACTCAATAGCAAACAAAACAAATCATAAACCATTTTCAGTATTAAATTAAAATCTAAATAAACATAAGCCAATACGGCAACACCAAACAATGAATAATTTAAACCTCAACGGGAAGCAAGCATAACTTTGAAGTTGGACGTTTGATCGTGGTATCCCTGCAACGAATAGAAACAACACGCGTTAAATTGTCTTTCCCTGGATGCAGTTGTATTATTTTACCGTACAACCATTTGGCTGGAGGTAAGTTATCTTCTTTTATTAAAACTATATTACCTTCTTTAAATTCCGGAATTCGAGCAGCCCACTTCTGTCTTTGGAAGAATTGTGTTAAATATTCTTGTTTCCATCTCCGCCAAAAGTGTTGCACCATACGTTGTACCAACTGCCAGCGCCGTAATGTGCTCATTGGAGCACTCTCAAAATTACAGTCTGGTGGGACAATCAACGGTTGACCCACTAAGAAGTGACCGGGAGTCAAAGGTGCTGGATCGTCGGAGTCGTTACTTCCTTGAGACAGAGGCCTAGAATTTAGGCACGCTTCAATTTGAGATAGAAGAGTGGACATCTCCTCAAATGTGAGCGTGGAGTTGCCTACCACACGCCTCAGATGGTGTTTTACACTTTTGATCCCTGCTTCCCACAGTCCACCAAAGTTTGGAGCGTGGGGAGGAATAAAGTGCCAATCTGTCTGGGAATTAGCAAGAGCTGCTGCAATATCTTTAAACATTGAGCTTTCTCGTGCAAAAAGTGCCTGTAGTTCTTTGGCAGCGCCCACAAAATTTGTACCATTATCGCTCCAGATGTGACGACAACGACCACGTCTGGAGACGAACCGCTTAAATGCTGCCAAAAAACCATCCGTCGTTAAATCCGAGACGGCTTCAATGTGTACGGCGCGCGTAGCCATACACACAAACAAGCAGATATATCCCTTAAAAGATCGATGTCCGCGACCTTTCGAGACTCTCATATTAATAGGCCCTGCATAGTCGACACCAGAGTTTAGAAACGGTTTGCTTGGGGTCACTCTGCAAGGTGGAAGGTCGCCCATCATCTGATTTTTCGTGGTAGCAGCATACCGTATACAGGGAACACAGCTACGTATATGAGCTCGAACCATATTTTTCAATCGGCTGATCCAATACTTGGTACGTATAAAATTAAGCATCAGTTGTTGTCCTCCATGAAAGGTGGTCTCATGTGCGTCAGCTACTATTAATTTCGCTAATCCTGAGTCATGAGAAATAACAACTGGGTGCTTCGTATTAGCATGCAGAGAAGAATATCGAAGTCTACTTCCTACGCGCAATATTTTACTGTCATCTAGAAAAATATTTAAATTATATAATGGACTTTTCTTATTCAACGGCCTTTTATTTTCCAGGGCTACTATTTCGGCATGGAACCATTGATGCTGACTTTGTCTAATGCATTGATCTAAGCTTTCACTAATCTCTGTAACTGAAAGGTAAAGTGGTATTTTAACATTAGCTTTGCGTCGTTTTATTGTTTGTAAAAACCTTCTGCAATACGCCGTTATTCTAATAAGCCTTTTTAATGATGAAAACCTCGATATCCAGTTATTATCATAATCCAATACCAGATTGACTGTATGTACCTTAGTTCTCATCTCCTCGCGGGTGCATATTCCAGGAGGTCTTCTATATTGTATTGGGTCGCTCCTTAACCAACTTGGCCCTTGCTTCCAAAGATCACTATTAAGAAGCATAGCTGAAGATGCTCCACGAGACGCGATATCTGCCGGGTTATCTTTGGACTGCACATGAGCCCATTGAGTAGTATCCAATAAACTAAGAATCACTGACGTGCGATTAGCTACATAGGTTTTCCAACGACTTGGATGATCGCTTAACCAGGCTAAGACAACAGAAGAATCGGTCCAAGCGTGTATATTTGCCTTTGGAATATTCATGACTTCCGACACCTCAGTTAATAGTTTTGCCACTAAGACAGAGCCACACAATTCTAAGCGGGGAATAGATAATTGCTTTATCGGAGCTACCTTTGTTTTGGCTGTTAAAAGGTGTGAGTGTATTTTACCATCACTATCAACAATTCGACAATACACTACAGCTGCATATGCTATATTCGATGCATCGCTAAATCCGTGCAGCTCTATGACAGCATTTCTTTCCCCTTTGCCTATCCATCTAGGAATGTGGAAGTCAACTAGCTTTTCCAGCTCTGCTCTGTAACACCTCCATTCTTGTAGAAGTTCTGGTGGTAACTCATCATCCCAGCCTATACCAGCTATCCATAATTTTTGTATAAAACACTTTGATGTTATGATACACGGTGCTATCCATCCCAACGGATCGTAAAGTCTTGATATTTCTGATATCACGGTACGTTTTGTTTCAGGTGCTGCTAGCGGTAACATTTTTACTGAGTAATCAAATTCATCAGTGTTCCTGTTCCAGGTAAGTCCTAAAATCTTAGTTATTTTGTCTATTTTTATTTCCAAATCCTTACCTGAATTTCCTTCTAATTCCTCCAGTAAGTACATCCTATTACTTGTCCACTTCTGTAGCCGAAAGCCTCCTTTCTCTAATAAATTGTTCATTTCTTTATAAATTCTTACTACTTCTGTTTCAGATTGGCAGCCAGTCATCAGATCATCCATATAGAAGTCTGTCCTTACTCGCTCAGCAGCCAATGGATAATCTTTACCTTCATCGCAAGCAACTTGATGCAATGATTTGACTGCTAGGTAAGGTGCGCATGATGTGCCAAAGGTCACAGTCAGAAGCCGAAAATCCTCAATTTCCTTGCTAGGATCTTCTCTCCAGACAATCCTTTGGAAGTCAGTATCTGGCCGCGCAACTTTAATTTGGCGGTACATTTTTACAATATCTGCCGCTAGACAGATCGGATGCTGCCGCCATCTCATGACAATGTGTCGCAAATCTGCCTGGAGAGTGGGTCCTACCATCAAGGTGTCATTTAAGGAAACTCCATTAGTTCCCTTACATGACGCATCATACACCACTCGAACTTTAGTGGTCAGCTTATCTTGTCTCACCACTGCGTGGTGTGGTAAATAAACAGCATCGCTTTTATTTCGGTCTGATTCGTCAATTATTCTCTCTAAATGACCGAGCAATAAATATTCATTTATCACATCAGAATACTGTTGTTTTAATTGACTATTCCCAGCCAACTTCCTTTCTAGTCCTAGCAATCTTTTAACAGCAATATTTTTAGAATGACCATATTTACAAAGCGGATCTTCAGAACGAAAAGGCAGTTTGACTACATATCGACCGTCTTGTTCTCTTTTTGTGGTAGTTGCATAAAAGTCCTCACACGCCTGCTCTTCAGGCGTGAGAAGCCTTTTAGTTAAATCAGGTTCTGAATCAAGTTCCCATAAACGTTTTAACATTTCGTTCTCTTCAATTTGAGTATGCATAGCGATAACAGTGTTATGGGAATTCAGAGAATTTTCTGATTTACTTATCTGGCCTGATACAATCCATCCTAAATGGGTGTCTTGTGCCACCGCAGAGCCTATAGGACTCTTGATTAAACCAGCCTTTATTATACGACAGTACGATTCCGCTCCCAGCAAAATATCAATTTTGCTAGGTATGTTGAAAGTTGGGTCCGCTAAATCCATACTGTGAATTTCTGGCCAATCTTGAATTTCAAATTTTGTATCTGGCATAACTGAGGTCAGTGAGCTTAAAACATGCGCAGTTACTTTTAAGGTGAAAGAAGGGTCATGCAACGATTGCACATTAACTTTAACAATATGTCTAGAGACAATATCGCCATGACGACCTCCTATCCCAGCAATCGTAGTTTTAGATACTACCTTTTTCAACCGAAGTAATTGCGCGGCTGCCTCTGTGATAAAGGATGCTTGAGATCCTTGATCCAACAACGCTTTCAAAACTTGAGAAGACCCATCTTGTGATTCAGCTTTTATTAGAGCTGTGGCTAACAGGACTTGACCCTGCGCTCGTTCATTCACAAAATGAGTTGATATATTTGCACTTATACCACATGGTGGGGTCTCGGAATTATTTTCATGTGAGGTGGTAGCCTCTATGGGGGTAACCACCGCACTAGTGCCACTGGGGTTTTTCGGGTGTAGCAACGTATGGTGCTTTCGCTGGCAAATTCGGCATTTGGAAAAAACCCTACATACTTTCGAAGTGTGATGGCTTGCCAAACAATTAAAACATACACCTAATGATTTTGCAATACCACGGCGCTCGTCACTATTTGCTTTACTGAACTTTTTGCAGTTAGATAATTTATGCTTCTCTGAGCAATGCGGACATGAAACTTCAATAATGCCATGCAATACTTTGGCGTGAGATGTTGAAGAGGGAATAACTTTCGATTTATTGTTCGGTTCAATGAATTCAAGAGCTCGGAAACGCGTCTCAATAAACTCGCGAAATTGCTTAAAAGATGGCAGGTCGTCGGAGGATTGACTAACATACAATTCCCACTGCTTCCTTGACTCTACGTCCAACTTCAAACTTATGATATAAATAACAACTATATCCCATGAACTAACATCAATTCCAAGATTGGTTAGCTCATGTAAACAATCGCTAGTTACATCGAGCAGGTTTTTTAAAGCACTGGACGATTCGTTCGCAATGTTACGTTGACTGAACAATCTTTTTAAAATACAAGTTGACATGAATTTCTTATTATTAAACCTATGTTCTAACATTTCCCAACACTTTTTGTAATTACTATCAGTTATAGGAATGTGTTTGATTAACTGTTCTGCTTCACCTGACAACTGTGTTTTTAAATAATGAAGACGTTGTACGTCATCTAGATTTTTATTATTATTAACTAATGAAATAAACAAATCCCGAAATGACGACCATTCAGTATATTTGCCACTAAAAGTAGGTAAGATTATTTTTGGTAGTCTTACATTGTCAGGTGCAACATTACAAGTTTCTGTATTGGAACTATGAGACTTTAACTGAGACAATGCATTCTTAAGTTCTACTTTATAACTTAAATAAATTTCATAAACTTTTTCATTGATATCCTCCTGAAAATACTCGAACAACTCTTTACCCTCACACTCGCCTACTATGACTTCGTATTTGGCAGTAAAGTTCTTCAATTGATTCTCTAATAACTCCAGTCGTGTATCTACGTAATTATACGAAATACGTTCTTTTGGTGATTTTTTAAAGTTAATGAAGCCTTTCTCAATCTGTCCTTTAATATCTTTTAACTTTCTTAATTCCTTATCCATGTTGTATTGTTCTAAGTACTAATGATGCCTTGTGATATTTTTTCAAAGAGTCAACGAGAGTAAATTTTCTAAGTGTTTTAATTACTTGTACACCGCTCAGAAATCGGACATAGATTCCCCGTTCCGTCGTTTTTATCCAAACTATTCTAAGTCTCAAATGACAATCACTCAAATTTTTCTAAGTCCATGCATTAACTTAATTTTTTCAAAGTTCCGTAACTTAGCACTATTTAAAACACTTCAAATTGTACTCACAGTAGAAAGTCCTCTGTTTGATATTTATCACTACTCACGCACTCGATTCATCAGTACTTCATCAGCAACAATATCCGCAACTCCCAGATTCCAATGTACATACCACTAGCGCCACCTTGTATCTACTAGCGTAATCACTTATACTTTTTGTGTTCTTCAAAAATGCCCTTCGACTCGTAAGGACCATGTACAATTACGGTACTAGGTGCCAAACAGCCCAGTGATACTAAAATGAAACTACTGTACCTCAGAGCGAGACAAATTTATTTTACAATCAAGCAGCCTTATATACCTCTTCGTAGAACACAACCATAGCGCGATTCAGACTACTAAGATAACGAATAAGATAAATACAACGCCATCTATCGAGTGGAAGTGTAAACAATTATTAAAAATATTGATTTAAACTTTATTTTCGAACACATTCTGAACAATTAGTTTTACGAAAGGTCATAAGAGTGTCTCTTATAATGAAAACCAATCATCCTTTTACGTATCAAAAAGTTATCCCTGTTACATTTCCTCATATTATAAACTTTGTTTCCCATCACTGGACCGCCACAAGCGGTCAGATGCCACGTCATAACTTAACGCAGTATAAAAATACATACAGTAATTTTGCTTTTGATTTGACCGAAACGCTGTTAAATGTTGTCGAAATTACCAATTCTATTTTAAAAGCGCTGTAGAGCCATATCGTGGAAAATTACAGTTTTACCCGTCCACCCGAAGCAGTTCTCGACTGTCATAAATAAAAGTATGTACGACAGTCGGGAGCGTGACGCGCGCGTTTCACGTCACTCGTACCGCACGAGTGCCATATTTAGGTGACCGTATCAGTATGATCGGTAGCCTGTGATATTAGCTTGAATTGTGTCGATATGTGCGTAATAATTTCGAGTATAGTTCCATAAAATCACAGCGAGTTCGACATAGTGCGAGCAGGGTCAGGGTCGGGTCGTTCACGGCAAGGCGGGCCGCTCGTACTTGGCGAGCCGGTCCTGGCAGGCGCGCAGCTCGGCGGCGAGGCGCGCCACGGCCGCGTGCGCCGCCCGCAGCTGCGCGCGCAGCCCGCCCTCCGCCGCCGGCTCCGCGTCGCCGGCGGGCTGGGGTTTAAATTTATACATTCATCAATAACTATCTTGTCATTTTTCTTATTATAAAAAACTACTTAAAATTTTCTAAAAATGTGTGCCATCTGGCTGAACATTGCCTTGGCTGTACAATAATAATAATAATAATTTATTGACCTATAAAACATACATACTTTGTCTTATAATAAACTAGCACCGCCTGCGGCTCCGTCCGCGTTGAGATGACCAAAAACCAAATTCTTAGGTTTTACATTTTACATTAGTATAATCTTACATTGCAGTTTTTGTATTTTTCTCAGAAATGAGACATTATCCCGCGGTAAAAAGTATCCTATATGTTGACCTGGATAACCAGCTATCACCATACCAAAGTTCATTAAAATCTCTCCAGTGGTTTTTCTATGATGCGGTAACAGACAGATAGACAGAGAAAAATTCTAAAAACTATAGATTCGGCCTCTGTATCGATAATGTTTATTTCAATAAGATTTTCCAAAAAATATTTGATGTACAGATTCGGCTTAGTTACAATTTTATTATATGTATAGATATAAGCTAGATATATGACTCTCATTTCCAACTGAGATAAACACAATATCACAAGGTGCGCCAGCATACAACCTGCGGGCCGGGCGCGGCGGGCGCGGCGGAGGCGAGCAGGCGCGTGAAGTTGGCCTTGTTGAGCAGCAGCTTGAGCGCGGGCCGCCGCCCGTCGCCGCCGCCGCCGCCCACCTGCACCAGCTTCACTTGCTGGGAACATTGCCAATCACTGGATTTAGGTAAACTACTTAAATAATAACATAATCGATTCTTAAATCTATTAGTGGTTACATTATTTGTGTAGATGAGGATAAAATTAGATAAAATATGAAGAATATGATTATATGATTACCAGGACAGTACAAAGTGATTTAGACCTTTTCAAAAAATTTATGAAAAACTGAATAACAGCATCTTTCAGAAAAAAAATGAAAACATTTTAATGTTTTTTTTTTCTGAGAACATGGACGAAGGCCATGAAACCAAGAATATCCTACCTGCAAATCACTCGGATGAATAATTTTCTTCAAGGGCTGGTTAGGCTTGTTCAACGCGACGACCTTAACACCCCTTGCCCCCCGCGCGCGCGCGCGCACCACCACGCCGCGCGCGCTCGCCGCCGCACTGCTCCCGCTCACCGCACTATTCACATTCAAACCGCTTACACTAGCACTATTTACAACACCCGCACTACTTATACTAACGACTGCACTATTTACACCCGCACTGTTCACTAGGTTTGCACTATTTATATTTATTCCCGTTGTAGTGTTAATGTTGGCAGTGTCACTGATAGTGCTCGTGTTTGGACTTACGTCGTCGATTAACATTGGACTGTCGTTGCATCCATTGCCACTTTCTTTTAACATTAACTTGCCAGCATCTGTAAGAAAAAAGAATCTTCATCATTTAATTATAAATAACTTTAAAGCTAGCAGAGACCATAAAAAATTTATATGTATGTAGTACCTAATCATTCCTATCAAGGTAGAAAATCAACATAAACAAACTGGCAAATAATAGTTTTAACCGTTCTGAGATAAAAAATCTTCCTTTCAGACTTACATATTCGTATTAAAAGGTAAAAAAGATATATAAATTGATTTAAAAGTACTAGTAAAAGTCTATTTGAATAAAGTATGATATGATTTGATCGTCACAATAGCAACGCTCATTCAATGAGAGCTGCAGTGTCTATAGCGTTGGAGTCGGCAACAACGAGTGAGGAAGAGCGAGGTTACCCGAGAGCACGACGGTGCGGCCGCTGCGCAGCGCCGTCAGCACGGTGCAGCCGCGGTCCGCCGGCAGCAGCGTGATGCCGTGCGCGCGCAGCAGCGCCGCGCCCTCCGCCCGCGCGCCCTCCGCCTCCGCCGCGCCCGTCGAGATTGGCTGGAGCGTCAAATGTCAGTGTTGTTATAAAATTATATTTTTTTTTGTATAAAGTAAGCGAATGATACAACTTGTAATCACCTCGGTTTTGGACTCTAGAGTAATAGTTTTTTCAGGATTTATCTTTATTTTCGTTTGCGGTTTTATGTCTTGTATTCCTGAAACAAGTTACAGATTATACCATCAAAATTGCATTAAGCGACAATACACTAAAATAAATGAAATTATTAATAAAAAAACTTTAAAATAAATCGCTTACTTTGTATCGTTGCAAATTCATGCTCTATCTTGGGCGTATCTGCCATTTGTTCTGAAACATTAACATCGTGGTTAGTGTGCGAGTGTCACGAGCGATGTGCGTGTGTGTAAGGGGTGTGTGTGCGTACCCTGCAGCGCGGCGGCCTCGGCGGCGGCCTCGGCGGCGTCGAGCAGCGCCAGCACGTCGGCGCGGCGGTGGCGCGCGGCCAGCGAGCGCGGCGTGTGCCGGAACTTGCAGCGCGCGCGCGCGTCGGCGCCGCGCCGCAGCAGCTCGCGCGCCGCCGCCGCGTGCCCGCGTGCCGCCGCCCAGTGCAGCGGCGTCATGTGCAGCATGTCCCTGCGCGGCGACCGACATCTTCTCTTTATATCAAGATACTATATCTAGTCACTCTAGCTAAGTTCGGATTATATCATGTTTTTGAACGACTAATCTACATATTTTATCCATTTTTTTTCTACAGGACTGTAGTAATGTTTTTATGACAGGTTTCGGCTATAGTATACCGGTCTAAATGTAACTACTGACTAGCCATGAGCACAATATTCTCATTATATTCTCCCTCATTTTCAAACTCTCACGAGAGGACGATTTGAAAGATATATTCGGAAGTGTTCAGTCGGAGCAGAAGTAACACCAAGCGTCCCACCGGCAGTCGAGCGCGGCGCCGTGGTCCAGCAGCAGCGCGACCACGGCGCGGTGGCCGGCGTGCGCGGCGAGGTGCAGCGGCGTGCGCTCCACCTTGGTGCGCGCGTCGCGCGACACGCCGGCGCGCAGCAGCACGGCGCACGTCTCCACGTGGTTGTTGGCCGCCGCCAGGTGCAGCGGCGACGTGCCCAGCTACACGACACACACAACACACCACACTACTTCTTAAATAACATATAAACAAATAACACATACCAGATAAAATAAACAAAAACAAAAAAATATATTGGGATACGATATGTCCTAAAAGTTTATAAATATATTGAAAAGAGCTCTGACTCTTAGGTAGTTTAACCTAAACCGCTAAACCAAATATCTAAGCCAAGTGGCAGTGGGCTGGGATGAAGAGTTCGCTAGTAGCGGCCACGCATCGAAAGGCGGAGCGTGGGCCTTTAACAAGATAAACTTAATGAAAATCCCTGGAATCCACTAGATTCTGGAATAGGTCTCTCCTAAATAGATGTAACAGAAGTTGATATCTTTCGGCTGAGACGAAGACATTATTAAATAAAACTATCTTTTCGGATTATTTCGCGGATTTATTTTGATTTTCGGTTCCCGACGTTTCGAATGCTTTACAGCATCCATGGTCACGGGAGAGACTGAGGTGTTACATGTCTTGAATGTATAGTTGTTACAGACAGCCTACCCACAATTAAGAAAATGAAAATTGCACCAATTACATTACAATATTTTTTAACTTTAAACATTTTTATAATTTTAATTATAATTGAATATGGAAAATTATTTATTTAATTTTTGCTATTATTTTTATAATTATTACAATTTTAAAATATTAATTAGTAATCTATATTTAGTGTTGCCATTATTATATTTATAACCATAAAGAAAAATATAAAATATAGTATTAATTATTTAAGCCATATAATTGTTCTATGTGTAATTTAAAAAGTTAAAATTAATTAAGGATAATAATTTTAATTTAGTTTGCTATTATTTAAAAACAACTTACTAAGCAACACTATTAATATATACTTTTATAAATGAAAAATGAAAAATATTAATCTGATAAGCTGTCATTTTGATCTACACAGTATGAACTTACTACGTCTGCCTGTCTGTTTTGTTTATATTCAATTATAATTAAAATTATAAAAATGTTTTAAAGTTAAAAATATTGTAATGTAATTGGTGCATTTTTCATTTTGTTAATTGTGGGTAGGCTGTCTGTAACAACTATACATTCAAGACATGTAACACCTCAGTCTCTCCCGTGACCATGGATGCTGTAAAGCATTCGAAACGTCGGGAACCAAAAATCAAAATAAATCCGCGAAATAATCCGAAAAGATAGTTTTATTTAATAATGTCAAACATTCGCGTAAATCTAAGAAAGTATTATGAGACGAAGACGTCAATGTCCACTAAAAATTGGATCTTTTGTCACAAAAATAAAACTTAAAAGGGGTTAAATAGAGGATAAGAGTTTGTATGGGAAACACATCTACTTGCTCATTCGAGTTAGGAATATGAAAGTTTATATTTTAAAAAAACTGTTTTTTTTTTTCGGATTTTAAAGCAGATTTATGTTGGTTCTCGACGTTTCGAATACAGCAATAATAAAAATTATCATTACAACATTTGGCAGAAACTAAAAATTTCAATTTTATATTAACCTATATGAAAAAGTAGTAATGTCAAAATAATGTATGGAAATGTTGTAACTTTAAGTCTCAATAAATTTTTACTCATACGTTCGCGGACAATTTTTATTTAACATTTCGACTTCCTATCACGTCCCTTATCCAGAAATACCACCCACTCCGCTAGGGGCCAAGTCCCCAATTCTAAATCGCAGCCAAAGAGAAAATGTACCGAAGTACGTTGTAATTTAACAAACGATCAAGCAGTTACCCAATCAGTGGTGAAGGGCGCGCCCTTGGCCATGAGGTCGAGCACGGCGGCGGTGTCGCCGGCGCGCGCCGCCAGCAGCAGGCGCCGGCCCAGCTCCAGGCCGCCCGGCGCCGCGCGAGCGCCCGCCGCGCCCGCGCCGCCGCGCCCCGCGGGCTCGGCCTGCGGACGAGTTATCATGTGTTCATACTTCATTCTATTGGCTCAGATGCACTGTACAGCCTGTTCATTTTTAAAAATTGCGACTCTGAGTGTGGATATAAACATATAGTCAATAATATAAATTGCGGTCGTATTGACTAATTATTTATACTAGTTAGTTCTTTTTGGGTATTGATAAATCACGTAATTTTTGGTGTCCCTATTATTATAAGAACACCCTAAGTCTGTCTGTATTTATCAATAGATGACACTATATGATGGCACATCATTAACTTTTCACTCAGGTGAAGTTGTATACAATGTAAGTGTTATTATAACATTTCATATTATTTACATGGTCTTCAGAAGAAATACAATCTATGGCACAGAAGATACAAGTAGTACAGTCAGTCACATATTTTTTAATAATTATAGTAAATATTTAATAGGTATACTTAATTTGAATATTTTGAAAATATGAATTTAGGTATTTTTATAAATTTATCAAATTCTTGTCTGTCTATATCACAAATGGCTTGAGAACAGCTGGGCTTCAATTTCTATACATTAAAAAGAAAGTTAAAAACTTAAGTTGGCCGAGTAAATTCAATAAAAAATATATTAAATTAAAATAAATTTGAGCTTCCCATTGTATATGCTCCGAATAAGTGAAAAGAAAAACAATATAACAAGCTACAAAATATGTCTTTGGGTATTATGTATGTGGTAATATTAATAGAAATGTGTAGGTGTTTTTTAATATAAATAACTACCTATAGAGTCCAACTAGAAATAATTTTTAAATTAACACAAGTACAGAAGCTAATTTAATTTAATATATTGTTATTTCCTGTTGTGTTAATATTTATTGCAGAATTATTAAAATCTAATAATAAGTCCAAAATCTCAGTTCTATAATAAATTAATATGTTAAGTATTTGCTTTTGTAAATTTACCATTACTTTTACAATTATTGACAAAGACATTAATTTTGGGAAATTTACTTGTTTGTATATAATACTTACTTTTATAACCTGAGGAGAAGTTAAACTTACAATTACATCTTCACCACAAAGATCTGTTGTCATATTTGTTTAGCTACAACAAAAGCAAAATATAATTCTTAATATATTTGTTATTATCCGTATTAATATTATAAATGTGAAAGTTTGTGAGTATGGATGTTTGTTACTCTTTCACGCCAGAACGGCAGAACAAATCTGCATGAAATTTGGCACAGAGATAGATTATAGTCTGGAATAACACATAGGCTAGTTTTTATCCCGGAAAGATGTACGATTCCCGTGGGATAGGTTTGTTTTTGTATTACTAGAGAAGAACCCGAGCGAAGCGAGGGTGAGCCGCTAGTTCAAAATAATAACAAAATTTATTTTATAATTACCTGCTTGATAATACTACATAATTATTTAATACTTTTCAAGAAACGAAAATACAAATAAAAATACAACATTATATTAGAACATTCTATTTTTGTCTGAAAAGACAATAACTATATATTAGGTTTTGTTTAGAGAAATTACAACGCCCTGCAACATAATTAAAAGAAGTCATAATGGAAAGTTATAAAGCAATCGGATAAACATTTCGCGCTTTTTGTCAACTTTTCCAACTTCATAACAAACCACAGAAACAGGATAAGGATGTTGAAATCAAAGCTTTTACAATGCACTTTCGATCACCAATCTTACACTTCCTTTTCCTGTCCCGACGGAAGTTCTCTAATAGTAGAGATTAGTGTCTATTTTATTCGAAAATAACGCAATCTTCATACTTACTTACAAACAGCAGCAATACATTTCAGTTACAGACATATATCGTTATTATTTTACTGTAAATTGTAGACGTCAACACATATTAGTAAGTTTTTACTCGTTATGATCTAATTTTATACCGCGAAAACAAATGTCAACTCAATTTTTCGTTGATATTTATAGTGGTTGCAATGTTAGATAATGATGGTTAATTTTTCTAAAGTAATAAATAGAGGTTTAATAGCAAGAAAGTAAGGAATATCATGCAGAAATATATTTAGATACAAGTTTTTGAAGGTTATTTTTCTTTCGCAATTTAAGTATATTGGTAAACCTGTTTACTATAGACAATTTGCCTCTATGAACTGATGAAATATAAATAATATCAAATAGTACAAAATGCCGTGTTGTAATAAATTTTAATGAGAAAAAATAAGACTCAACAAAATATAAGGTAATAATGAAATAAAGTATGTTATAAAAGTTACGTTTGGAAAAAATTATAAAAAAGTTATAATGTTGGTAGCTTTCATAGTGACGTAAAGTTGTAAACCAATGGCCAATGGGCATTGGGCAACGATGAATGACGTCAATGCGCAAATGACGTCATTTACAGATGTAAATAAACTGTGGAAATTTAATTTTTCAGTTTTCACAAATTTGTTTGTAAGTGAATAATATATGTTTTTAGTAATTCATTTACAAGTGTTGCTAACAAAATGAAGTTATCAACACCAAGATATACATTTTGCTTAATAAGTCAGTTAACTTTTATGTTTTGCGATCTGATATTTAATTGCGTTAGCTTGTTTCCTAGGAGTCGTGATGGATTACTGGTATTATTTATGTGAGTGGAACAATTTTTTTAATTATTAATCTAGAATCCTAGATCATCAATTACATTAATTCTGTTAAAATATTTAGATTTCAGGATCTATTTCTAGTCCTATCAATAACCACAATTTTAGTAACGTTCTTCTCAACATATTTATTTCAAGTAAGTATTATTTTTTCCTTTCTATACTTATCAAATACTTTGTACCAAGAAAGCTATTAATTACCTAATCATTAATTCTAGGCTGGTCTAGTAGAAGTTTTAATTCGCAAGTTCCGAGCAGCCGGCTCTGTGATAATTGGTTATGTGGCCGCGAGTGTTGTGCTACATGCAGTGTGGCTGCTGGAGAAGTGGGGAGATCCAGAGTCTGTGTCCACACCTATGCTCATCGTCCTGTTCACTTTGCAACGATGTTGTAAGTTTAAAATTGAAATTTCATAATATTCAAAATGGAGTTATATTTGACAAGAAAATGTATCAATCCTAAAAAAACATACATTACTCTTAAACATATTTCTTTTGATTACAGTATCTCCCTGGTACTACTTCTTCTACAAAAGAGCAGCATTGAGGGTCAGCGACCCTCGCTTTTATGAAGACATAGACTGGATTAATCAGCAATTGCAGTCTCGTTGAAATAGTCAAGGAAAATAATAACTTTGTTTCAACTTTATATATTTAACTTTATATAAGTGAACCATAATGTAATAAGTATAATACTGTTCTAATATTCTATGACTGATTTAGGAATAGTAGTTTAGTTAGAAAATAACATTAGTTAATGATTTATTGATAACATCTAGTCAGATGAGCTTTAATAATGATAATTTTTCTTACTTGTATATTGTTGTCACAGCAAGTACGGTCACTACAAACTGAGCCAAATGTGTAGTTCATTCATTCTAATATACTGTATTATTTCTTTCATGTGATTAAAAGTTAAGGGTAGTTAGTTTCATTAATGCACATAATGATCCAGGAGCCAGGTACAAATTTGGTCAATTATTTCCTCTCAAGCGATAATTAGTGGAATGCCTCAGAGTTGTATCATAATTTATGACAAACAGCTAACTAACGCACTACCCATTCTCTTTAATCTATCTTTGCTATGGTAGCCATTGTTATTGTCTGACAAATGATATACAGGGTGGATTTTTCAGACGGGACAGTAAGGGCAAGTAACTTAACTGCTATAGTTACAGGAAAACGTTCCTAGGAAACTATCCATAACTTTTTGAGATATTCTGAACTGCATTTACAGATTTTGGAAAAAATGTACAGTTAGAGAAAAAAATGCTAAAATATCAAAAAACTTTTTTTATGTCAATCGATCCTATTTCATGTAGGGATCAAAAGATTCTATGGGTTCATTTGAGGTATGAGTACTAGAAATAACAGAAATCGCCAAAAACTTTTCCCATAAATTTTGTACTGAAATATTCTTTGTTGCCAAACTGTCCTATTTTTTTATGTGAGGCCAAATGCAGTTTGAGTACAGAAACTACGGTTGGTCACAAGACCGGGCTTACACGCAGGCACCTTATGCAGCGGGCGTAAAATATTTTTTTTTCAGTTTCTGTTAAGGCAGTCTCGTGGCATACTGTACATAGAAGCAAAAGTACCTACCTAAGTAGAAAATCATGGCTCGGCAAAATCATGGCAGCTGACGTTCACAAAGCTTTATTATACAACTCTGATGCATTCCACTAATAAGCGCTTGAGAGAAAATAATCGACCAAATATTTACCTGGCTCCTGGACTATAAGTTATACTATAAGATAAAGAAGGCTTAGTAAATAAAAACATAATTTCTAGCATTTAAATTTATTTCACAACATTATGCATAATATGTAACAATTGGTGTTAAAATAAGAACATAAAATATATAAGAAAGATTATGGATTGAGTTTTAGTTTTGGCTGTCATTTATTTAACTCTATAAACATTTACAGTGTATTGCTGTTTTCTTTATTTAAAATAAGGAAGCAAATTTTACTAAAATATATTGATACTAATTAGGCGTTTAATCTATTATATTAATTTATTATATTTGGTTTTTATAATGTACTTTTTTTATAGGATAAAACTATAATTATGTAGCTCTAATGAAGTAGAGATTTGTGCTGACAACGTTAATATGACAAAATAGAAGTTTTTAATATTTTGCTATAAATTAGTGTACTATGGAGCTATAAAGTTTATTTGCATATAATCAAAACGAAATCAATGAACAGAAGGCGGTAGATATTGAACAAAGTTGTCATGGATGGCATAACTAAAATGGATAAAAATCAAGTTCAATTCAATTATTTTATTTCGTGGTTTCTAGGAATGTCACATAGAAGAAAATGATGTACACAAAACCATAGACACGACATAGACACAAAACCATAAACACAATTGCAGCTTCCTACGATGTGTGACAGGTATCTAACAGTTAGTGTATAAAATGTATAAACATTGATTTGCTACATGTTTCATTGGAGGTAGCTACATTTCGTAATCAGCACTTTTACTTAAAATTTATATTTTTATATTATTCGTAATATTATATAAAACCACATTATCGCTAGTAACAAATTATTGCTTTTGATTTATTTTTTCAACTAAATTTATATGAAATAAATAATTTTAAATCAATTCACATTTACTAAGTGGGTTTTTTTTGAAATTTCTTTATAGTAAAGGATATAAAACTTGACAAATGATGACACAAATTGATATTATTTTTCAAAAAAATTTCATCTTTTAAATAGTTTGTAAAAAGATAAGAAAAAGTATTAACATCCGCCGACTGACGTAGTGTCGTAACGCAGTTGGAGAGTAGAGAGTAGGATAAACTACATACAACTAGTAACAACAAGAAATATTTAACTCAATAGATAATAACTAAAGAATGGAATTAAATCAACACAACGAGACGGTGACTAACAGTATTATGCAAACTTAGAATGAACAATATGTAACATCATTACAACGTAAACAATAAGAACAGCAAACATGTTTGTACAGGGTGATCGATTTCGTATAATTTATCTCGACTCGTATTGGTCGGGCGCTCGGCGCGCTCGGCGCGGGCGTCGTATCAGAACTTGGAGCGGCAGAGCGGGCAGTTGGACTTGTTGCTTGTTGCGAACCACTTGCGCTGTGAAAGTTATGATTTATTACCAATAAGTCATTATAAGATATGTATTTTGCACGTACTGTTAACTTAATTACTTTTTAACTAAAATAAAATACCACAATGTATGTTGAATGTTGTCAAACTCATTTTATTTCTTTTCTCTAACTGAAGTGTCATTACAACAAATTAAAGAGCTATTGCCAGCCAGTGTAAACTCAATACTAAATTAGCATAAACTTTTTATAACTATATATTAAATTAAACATCCCGCCCACCAAAGAACTTCGTTCTTTTTTCTACAATGGTAAAGATTAAAACAACAAAAGCTTCTCGACACAAACAAAATATAGACTTTATCAAAACAACTCCGCCCACCGTGAATGCTCATTTTAAAGTAATATGATAGTGCATGGATGCAGTTCAAAAGTACATTATATTAAAAACACCTATTAATAATATTAACACATTCAAACTGGCAAAAGCTGTACAATTTGTAGCCTCTAGAAAAAATATAACACATTTTAAACAAAGAGAACATCACAATCACAGCACAAGAAAGCTAAGTTATATATCTTTTTGATTAAAAAAAATATTAAGTTTATTACAATTAGCACATAAATTAATTTTCAGGTTTAGGTAGTACACATAGTTTATTACAAGGGCGCTTAACAATACCATTTTTTGCTTTGATAGTAACAACCCTAGTTAGACCATCCTTTCCTGGATGCTTTTCTATAACCCTACCTAATAACCACCTTGCAGGTGGAATGTTGTGATCCCTAACAATAACTACATCATTAATTTCAGGTTCTAGCCTTTTGGTTGTCCATTTAAACCTTTGATTTAAGTTCACCAAATATTCATCTGACCACCTACGCCAAAAATCATTAAGCATTTTCTGAGTAAGTTTCCATCGATGAAGGCTTGAAATTGAGGTCTCAGAATAGTTCTCGTCTGGAACAATAACTAACGGCTCACCCACTAAAAAATGACCTGGAGTGAGCGGCAGTAGGTCGTTTGGATTGTCACTTAGAAATGATATAGGACGAGAATTTAGACACGCTTCTATCTGAGCCAGTACTGTTGAGAGCTCTTCGAAAGTAAGTGTGGCGTCACCAACTACTCGTTTTAGGTGTGCCTTAGTTGAACGAACAGCTGCTTCCCATAAACCTCCAAAGTTCGGAGCATGGGGTGGTATGAAGTGCCACGTCGTACCTTCATTTGCTAGCAATTGGACAATTTCGTTGGATAGCTGCGACTTAGCACGGGTTAACATCTCTCTCAATTCCTTCTCAGCCCCTATGAAGTTTGTACCGTTGTCAGAATATAAGTGCTCACAATATCCTCTTCGGGCTACGAATCTCCGGAACGCAGCAATAAATCCAGACGCGGTTAAATCGGACACAGCTTCTAGGTGTATGGCTCGCGTTACCATGCAAATATACACACAGATGTACCCTTTGTATGATTTCGCACCTCGGCCAGGGGAAAATCGCAGATTGACATGGCCGGTAAAATCTACACCTGTTTTACGAAAGGGTTTGTCGGGAACCAGTCTGCGTTCAGGAAGCTGGCCCATAAGCTGTTGGTTATTTTGACGAGCATACCTTGTACAGGTATTGCACTCTCTGTAACACTTCTTAACACGTTCTCTGGCACGAATAATCCAAAACTTCGCTCTCAAGAAGTTCAACATAAGTTGAGGTCCGCCATGAAGGGTTTTGATATGGGCGTCAAGGATTATTAGCTTAGTGATATGACTATCACTAGGTAAAATCACTGGATGCTTCTTGGCAAAATCTTCTTGACCTTGACTTATTCGGCCACCTACTCTCAAAGTACCATTTTCATCCAGAAATGGACATAGAGTATGAAGAACACTTCTTTTGAGTACTTCTCCATGAGACTTTAGCTGCTTTAATTCCTCTTGAAAGTATAACTCTTGTGTCTTTTTAATACAAATTTGTAAAACTATTTTACTCTCTTCTGTTGATACTATTTTATACATAACTCTTTCTCCTTTTGGTATTTTAAGTTTTAAAAATTTTCTACAATATGACAAAACTCTTAATAACTTAGATAGACTAGAAAATCTTTCCCATATAAATTCTTCTTTAATTTGAACTACAGCAGCTAAAGTTTTCTTGGGTCTCTCTTCTTCGTTTGTCTCGTAACCTTGGTCAACCTTGTACTCATTTTGATGACGTAGAAAATCTGGACCATCCCACCACAAATTGTGAACGGCAAGCTCAGCGATAGACATACCTCTCGAGGCACAGTCTGCGGGATTCTGATCCGTTTTTACATGGTTCCATTGATCACGATCTAATACAGTCAGTATCTCGGACACTCTGTTGCTTACGAATGTTGCCCATCGACTTGGTTCTCCTCCTAACCAAGCAAGGACCACAGTTGAATCTGACCATGCGTATAAGTTTGTCTTCGGAACCCTCATAATTTGTGAAACCTCATGAATCAATTTGGTTGCCAGCACTGCCGCACAAAGCTCCATTCGAGGGATTGAGATTTCCTTTTCGATTGGCGCCACCTTAGTTTTGGCAGTCAACAGTCTTACATAAGTATCCTCAGTTCCTTTGCATTTCATGTACACGACTGCTGCGTAAGCTCTCTGAGACGCATCGGCAAAAACGTGCAGCTCCCTCCAGTCATTATTTGTCGTCTGCAACCACCTTGGAATGCTAATCTTATTAACCTCATTTAATGAAGATCTGAATTCATGCCATTCATTCAGCAAGACTGGAGTAAGCTCATCATCCCATGCCAAGCCAGACTGCCACAATCTTTGGATAAATATTTTGGCGATTATAATAGTAGGTGCGATCCAACCTAAAGGATCATAGAGCCGGGCTATATCTGACAACACCTTACGTTTTGTAATTGGCTCCTTTTGCTCTGGTAAGTTGTAGGAGTATTCGAAGTTATCAGATATTTTATTCCAGCTTATTCCCAGTACCTTAATCATATTGCTAGCCTTAAAAATAAATGAATGATCGGTTCTCTGCTTGTCTCTTTCAATGTGATCTAGTAGTTTAGGACTATTACTGCACCATTTCTGGAGTTGAAACCCACCAGCCTCCATCAACTTCGACATTTGCTCGTATATTTCAATAGCGTCTGTCTCTGTTTGGCATCCCGTTAATAAATCGTCCATATAATAGTCTTCCCGCGTAATTCTTGCAGCTTTTGGGTACTTCTCATGTTCATCTTTTGCTACTTGTTGTAAGGATTTCACTGCCAGATATGGTGCACACGAAGTTCCAAAAGTAAGACGCAATAATCGGAAATGTTCAATAGGTCCTTCAGGATTCCGGCGCCATAAGATTCTCTGAAAGTTTGTATCCTGCTCATTTACTAGGACTTGACGATACATTTGCTTAAGATCCGCTACGATACAGTACTGATGTAGTCTCCACCTCATTAGAATGTGGCGTAAATCCTGTTTGTAATTTCGGCCCTAATAAAAATGAGTCGTTTAATGAAACATTATTAACTCCCTTACACGATGCGTCAAAAACTACTCTCACCTTCGTGGTTTCTTTATCTTCTCTCACTACGGCGTGGTGAGGAAGATAAACTGCAAGTGGGTTCTCAATGTCTTCTTTATTTTCTATCTTCTTCATGTGATTTTGCTCAACGTAGTCTTCTAATACGTTTCTGTATTCCATTTCTAGTGATGGGTTTCTCTTTAATCTCCTTTCTAGCAGTTGATATCTTCGGTACGCTATTACTTTTGATTTCCCATATCTAACTTCAGGATCTATTTTCTTAAATGGCAGCCTTACCACGTAACGACCTTCATCATTTCTCACTGTAGTCTCCTCATAAATTTCCTCACATTTAATCTCTTCCTTTGTTAATGGTTTCCCTAACATGTCTGGCTCTCTCTCTATTTCCCAGAATTGTTTCAGAAGTAGGTCTTCCTTTACTTGAAGGTGTAGATTTATCATCCTGGTATTGGCTAGCTCCTGTGGTGTCACACGTCCGGACAAGATCCATCCTAGTTTGGTGTTTTGCGCAATGGGACCAATTTCCGACGGATGTCTCAGCAATCCGTTGAGCATAATCTCGCTGTGAACTTCTACACCTACGATTACATCTATTTTGCTGGGTTGTCCATATTTTGGATCCGCGAGCGGTAAATTTTCAACCTCGGGCCAATTCATGATAGATGTCTTACTAGAAGGAAGAAAAGATGTTAGTGAACTTAAAACAAAGGCATTGACTCTAATAGAAAACTCTGAATCATGAAGTGATTCTAAATCAAAAACAACCATACTCTTGGTTCTAGACTGACCGTCACCTACTCCAGAAACTAATCCATTAACAGGTATTTTCTTAAGACCTAAAGATTGTACAGTACTCTCACTAATAAATGACGCTTCAGAGCCCTGATCTATTAATACACGCACGATTTGAGAATAGCCATTTGCTGATTTGGCTCTGACCAACGCAGTAGCCAGTAACACCTCTGATTGATTCTCCTCTTGGGCAAAATGAGCTATTATGTTTTTCTCCTTACTCGACTCTTGACTCAGCAATTTCTCAGGACCCTTAGACGAAGCGGTTGCTTCTGGACGTAGACCTCTCTCAAAGTGGAGTAATGTGTGGTGTCTTCTGCCACAACGGCGACAACACGTAGCCTGGTGGCAGCCTCTTACATTGTGGTTGGGAGACAAACAATTAAAGCAATGTCCCTTGGATTGCACAAACTCACTTCTCTCTTCGGGGGACTTGCTACCAAACTGTTTGCATTGGTACAAAAGATGTTGACTCGAACAGTACGCGCATACTAATTTATTATTTTCCTTTTTCTCCTCTAAAACGCTTGAATGAAATGACTTTTGTTTAGATACTTGTTTAGTTGTACTATTTTGAGCAGATTTTGTAGTGGTGCAATGATGCGGGGAGCGGGGATGATGTAATGAAACACAACCGCTCCCGATAAGGTTCTTTATTCTACTCCTCCGTCACAATACTGTCCTTAATATTTATACTATGCT